AGGCCAACTTCCCTTCGTGTGTCAGGAGGTTGCGGCGCTCGGCGGGTCCCCCCGTCGTCGGCGTCTTCGCGCTTTTCCCCCCCGCCAGGGGGGGAGGGCCGGGGGCGGTGGCGCGGGGTGCGCATCTCCGTCGGGTTCGCCTCGGCCGGCGCCTAGCAGCTGGCTTAGAACTGGTGCGGACCAGGGGGATCCGACTGTTTAATTAAAACAAAGCATTGCGAAGGCCCGCGGCGGGTGTTGACGCGATGTGATTTCTGCCCAATGCTCTGAATGTCAAAGTGAAGAAATTCAACGAAGCCCGGGTAAACGGCGGGAGTAACTATGACTCTCTTAAGGTAGCCAAATGCCTCGTCATCTAATTAGTGACGAGCATGAATGGATGAACGAGATTCCCACTGTCCCTACCCACTCTCTAGCGAAACCACAGTCAAGGGAACGGGCTTGGCGGAATCAGCGGGGAACGAAGACCCTGTTGAGCTTGACTCTAGTCTGGCACTGTGAAGAGACATGAATAGGAAATGATGGCGCCCTCTTACCCCGCCTATGGCGCCTATCCTAACACATAATTGCTACCTCGCTAACAACCTTTGCCTGTAGCACAACTCTCATGTCGCATCCTGTTCAACCCTGCTAGCAATGTGCCTTATTTCAGCAACATCTGTTCCAATATGTCATGACTGCCTCATCACTTACGATCTTGACATATGCCCAGCATGTCTCCCCGCTGTTCTCTAACCACTAACCAGATGTACTCGGTTGTCGGCATTGAATTGTCACTCAACAAAACTAACGCTCCACTGTGTGTGTGTCTTACAGACCGAGACCCATCGAAACGTTGACCAAACGATGAATCCCTCCACGCAAAACTCGACTGGAACGCCCATGAACAATACACACCATGAGGGACCACGCTCAGCTCCCCCCTTGAGGAAAAGACGGAACAATGTGCCAAAAGATGACGTCCAACGTGTGCACCCCGAATTATGGCGAAACGGAACCTGTATCTCTGATACACCAGAGATCAGTTTCAAGAAGCGCAAGCTCTTTGAGAGCAAAACGAGCCCTTCACCCATACGGCTGATGATCAAGATACCCCGGTTCGAAGCTGCATGTCCACTCTGTGGAGTGAACATCTGGGGGACTGGAACTCTTGGCAAACACCTCACTTCGAGACATGGAAATGTAAAAGTGTGCTACATCTGCAGGAAATGCAACAAACTATCGTCCAACTGCCACTCCATAGCCTGCCATGTCCCCAAATGCACCACCCCTCTTGCTGCCCAATTGATGGGGACCTTGTGTGCACTATGTGGCAAAAGATTCACTACCAACCGTGGCCTGTCCCAACACATGCGGCACACCCACCCCCTTGAGAATGAACAAAAAATATCAAGACTCCAAACCAAAAGACCAACTCACCAACGGGTCGACGCATGGGCCAACACAGAACTTGACATCATCATGCGGATGGTGCGTGAGAACAAACATGACAGTGAGATATTCACCCGTATTGCGGCTACAATTGGCAAGGGCATGACGGCGGGGCAAGCAATGGCAAAATGGGAAGCAATGGCCATCAAAAAGTCGGAATTACACATGCATGTGGATAAACTTGACAACCCTTTATCACACTCAAGTCCCATGTTACCTACTACTCCATGTGACCGAATCAAGAGCAAGTTCCTTGCCAATATGCTCAAACCTCTAGCAAACAAAAAGAGATGCATATCTAGATCCATAATCAAGATGGTGATGAAAAGCGAGGGGACCAACTCCAC